GCAGTCTAACTGCAGATTGTTCGTCCCCCCCAGCCCCTCCCCCTCACTGCGAATGCCTTTTCTTTTCTTTTCTGTTCTTTACTTTTTTTAATAATTTAGGTATGATAATCGTTTGAACTGAACTGAACTGAATTGAACTGAACTGAATTGAATTGAATTGAACTGTATCGTGCATTTGTTTCCCCCTGTGCGATATGACAGGAGGGTTTCCTTTTTTTTCTTTCTTGCGAAAGCCACGAACGGGTACGGATCGGTATGATGCGATACGGTACGGCAGATGGGAGTTTCACACTGGCTGTCACTCACTTGAAGACAGCACAAGCGGGAAACAGTGCTTTTTGTTTCATTTATCTCTCCCTTCCTTTGTTTCCTGTGTAGCATAAGCTGAGATGTCCATCTCTTCTTCTATTCCCCCCCCTTTCTTCTCCTCCGTTGCATTCGGCACGAATAGCTGTCGAACTTGGCCACCGTATTGAACCTAGATACCACACGGCGCAATTATTTCTTTCCCCCCTCATCTCTGTTTCCCGTTTCACGAAACTAGTCATCTGACCTTGTACATTCATGAATGGATGGATGAATGAATCGTGATGTTAGGACCCCGATTCGATAAACCCGGGCTCCTCCTGCGGGACAGAAGAGAGGGGGAGCCATTCGGATCGTTCGTGAGGCTTACCCGGGCAACTGGAAACTGGGTCCCCGCCCCTTTTTGGCTTTGAGTTTACTTCCTGTCTTTATTTTCGTTGTTATGGTAGATGGGAAGGCTGGAGGCCTCGGCCGGTATTACTGTAACTGTTCTATATCTCTTCCTCATTTGTTTTTAATTTTTTTGTTTTAATTTTTTGTTTTTTCCTGGCCCGCATGAGCAGCGGGGTGGTCAATTGGAGATTGGTTTCGACTTGAAGCATTGACTCTTAGGCCCCCTCTCCATCCACGGAAGTTATTATACTTGATTACCGGTAAGCATGATGTGGTAAGGAGAGTCAGAGGGTCCTGTATCCATATATCCCGTGCTCGCCCTGGTGTGGAGAGAAAAGTAGGAGGAGTCTTAGCGCCGTGTTACGGGCTCTTTGTTTGGCTGGCGTGCTTCATCTACATTATCATAATTATTGTTAATTATGGAAATGGGAAATGGAAGGTGGAAGAGGTGGGGGGTGAGGTGGGGGGAGAGATCATGGTGGGGTTGTTATTGTGTTTAGTCAAGCTGCGTTGGCAGCTACGGCAGCTATTGTATACGAGTAATCACTCGTGTGAGGACCACAAGGAGCAAGGGAGCATAATATTATCGTAGTATAAAAACATACAGTCCTGGGATCAGACAGCATTGGAAACACATATACATTGTGCTGTCATTTTTATTATTCAAAGCTAGCATTATTCAATCGTTCTTGAAAGAGTCGAGATGGCAGTAATCGTACCGGGATTAGCAGGGGTGGGAAGGAACAAGATTATAAAGTGAAGTAGCAAAACGGGATGGATTTTTTCGAATATCACTATCTGTTAAGGACCTTGGTATAAACAACATTTTGACATGATTGCGGTACTCTGCACTTTTTAAGCATTTGGGAAGAAAAAACATTTCACTCGGGGCTGCGAGGCGACAGGCGTCTTTGTTTCTGGGGGTTTGCAATATTTTTATTCCGGCTTAAATCGTATAACTTACTGAGCACTGGGGCGATGGTGAATTGGATATCCTACTGATACGGATGCAACCACTGACACCTTTAAACTCTTCCGTAATTGTATACTTTCGGCTGGGAAACGAAGTTCCTTTGCTTCATGGTATTATAATACTGCGGGGGGCCTTCCTACTGGCGGCCGCGGAAACTTAGTCTGTATAGCATCGCCGACGGTTCCCCCTCTTCCTCATCACCATCTAGTATCTCCCTAAATCATAGCTCGCCTGCACCACATAGCATTGTAATCTGATGCCCGCGATCAGCCACCTTAGCATACCCCACTAAGAAAAAAAAAAAGCACTGGGGGAGGAGGAAAAACATTTGCCCCTCTCTTACTTCATCCCCTCCTTCGCCCCCTTCTCCTCCTGCTCTTCCGGCATCAGAAACTTCGCGCAGTGCATCGCGTCCTGCGCCAAAAATTCCCGTCCCCACTGCACAAAAGTACGATACTAAGTACACGATAGTTGCATACGCAACATGCCCATCACCAAATATCACTCGAAGATCCCACGATCAGAGGTCTTGCGGTTGAATCGCGGCTGAGAGGCGGGGGGAGGGGGATTCCGCGCGAACTTGAGGGGGGAAGAAAAAAACTTTCTTCCCCCCGCCACTACCGCAGACTTCGTGGTAAAAAAAGAGAATTTGATTTTTTTGACCCATCGAAATTTTTGTCATCTTCATCCTACTTCACTGCTACAACTCTCCCTTCTGCGATCGAGCTGTTTTTGCTACTGGGGAATTGTTATAAAAATTTTTTTTTTTTTTTCGTTGCCTACTTCTCCCCACCCGTTCATCCATTCTTTCGTCATCCCACCGGTTCTCCGGGCGGTATCGAAATCAACGGCTCAATTCGATGTTTCCCTTGGAGGCTACATACTGCTGTACAGCACTGCAGGCTCCCGGGAGGAAACATATAGTATCTCACCGGTGAATGGAAAGAAAAAAAAAGAGGATTCACGATCGGGGAAAATCTTCAATCTAGTATTCCCGCTTACGGTAGTGATGGGTTGTCAGTCTTGGATCATGATGGATGGATGGGTATTTGAGAGTTCGTTGCCAGCTCATTGGTAGGGTAATATGCGGAGCTGGAAGTGGATATTTCATGCGCAAAGATGGGAGGGGGAGGGGGGGGCAAACAAGAGGGAAAAAAAGAGGAAGAAAAAAAAGAGAAATGCGCAAGTTTGTCATTGGAGGGAATTAAATAAATAAAATTAATGAATATGTTAGATTGAAGGGGGTGATAATAAATCTATAGATGCAGGCTATATCTGGGGAAGGGGAAAGCAGTGGAATTGACGATTGCTGTGTCTTTATGGCCATGGTGGTTGCGTGTTTGGGTTGGACTCCGGATTTTGCTTTGCCTGATCGGAGGGAGTTCGGACGAAACTAGAGCTTTGTCAGCCCTCTCTGCCTATGAAGGAAGGAAGGGGCTCCATCATCCTGTTAACCAGCTCTTGAACAAGCAGGGAAGGGAGCACTACGGTACTGTACAGTAAACAATCCATGTGGCTGGACCCGATATCTCTAAAGCATTATAAACAAAACGAGGGAGAGAAGAAAAGGAATTCCTAGTTTTCCCGGTACGATAGGGAGATGCACGGTACCGCCCAATGCATAACCAGATACAGTAGCACACACACAGACAAGACCGCGCCCCGGCCGAGTGAGGGACTGTGATATCCCGGTGAAGGAGGTGAAGAAGATGAAAACAACGAAAAGCTGTTGGTGAATGGTATCATACAACGAATGAGCGAGTTGAGCTCATTTGGCGGAAATTCTCATATCTAGCTAGCCTCTCGCGAGCGAAGTTTCTACGGCAAAGCTTCTCTACTATCCCTAAGGGGGGGTGAGAGAAATGAAAGAAGGCCTAACAGAGGAACCTAGGAACCAAATTCCTGGACAGTGTCGGCACCAGCACCATCACCATCGTCATTAACCCTGCAGTCGATCGAGCCCTATGGTGGAGCGCCGTATCATACAATTTCCGTATCACCATACTTACGATACGATACCCGATAAGTTACAACTAGACTACGGTTAAAAAAAAAAAAACTCCCCCACAGGGAACACTGGTATCATATGGTGGAATAAGTTTCTCGATAAATTGGGTAGCATTCTGGATTGATTAATTAGTCAATTGATTAATGTCTGCCACGCGAGTTTAGCTGCCTTAACGGCCTTGCAGGACAGGGCAGAACAGACCGGAGGGAAAACCATGGATGAGGTAGGGGGTTCAATTGGGGTCCCTATAAGTTAGCTGGCAAGAGGGCGCAATACTATACAGACAAATCCTCGCCATATAGTAGGTGCGGGGAGAAGTGAGCCTTTCCCAGCTGGTACGGGTACGATACTTTGATCTATTAACCAAATTAGAAAAGTCTACAAACCATAATAAATCGACCAAGCTCCACCTCCGCCTCCCGGATTTAGGATATCACCACCCCCATCCTCCCACTTCACCTTACCTTAACCCCCACAGCGCCTCCACTTGCCGCGGCTGTACGGGCGCCAAACAACTCGGCTCTTTCTTTATTTCTCACGGGAACCTACCTGGCATGGCATAGCACGGCACTTGGGTATGCGCTCAAACTGAAGTGAACTTCTCAAACTAGCTATTTAGAAATGCGGGGGAAACAAAAATTGCTTCGTTTACCCCCTCCAGGTTTGTCCCTGCCCTCAGCTCCGCGCGCATCAACATCACCTCACCGCTGCTATGACGTTGATGCTGCTGGCTGCTGACTATGAGAGAAGAGGGGTTTTTTGCATGAGTGCTTTACTGTAGATGGGCGATGGTAGCGACGACGATGATGGCAGTGGCGGTGGGGTGGGGATATCATAGCTATGGTTCATAGCATCTGGATTTCCATTCATCCGTGGATCGCGGTGAGGGTTTCGTTTTGGCGGGAGTAGCAGCAGGATTTGACGCACGAGGTTTCTGGGTAGATTTGAGGCCTGTGATATTGCTATGGTGTGATATTATGCTGGAGACTTTGGGGGGGATTGGTGCGGTCATGGGGTATCACCCGTGCCCCAAGTTAATATGGTTCTTTGCTATGGTATGGTAGTGTGGTTGTATGATAAATTATAGGTAGTGGATGTGTTAGCAGTACAAGTACAGCGGACGCGAACGAGGACTGTAAAAAGAAAAGAAAAGAAACACGACGACTATCGTAACCCCCCAACCTGACATCACTAGGAATTGACATCTAGGCAGCCAGAAAAATGGGTAACCAGCTGCGTTGATAAAAACACAGCAGAGAAAGCATTGCCTATCGAAAGAGGAAAAATGGGGAAACCCCAGACTAGAAAAAATATATCATACGAAGAGCCATGAAACTAGTCATGTTATTTTCTTCTTGTGCTTCTTCTAACATCCCCTTTCCTGGCCACTTTCTTTGGAGGAGGAACTGCCTTTTTGGATCCCGGTTTCCTCCCTCTCTTCTTTGGTACCGGTGGTGGAGTACCAGGGGCAGTAGTACTTTCCCCCATCTCACTCTCCGCGACCACCTCAGGCTCCTCCTCCTCCCCAGCTTCGGTCCCTGCAATTGTACCAGCATCCTCGTCACCATCTACGTCATCGGGCAAATCAGAGAGTTCATCGTCGGAGACATCGGACTCTTCTTCACTAGAGGCGGGTTTAGCGGGTGGTCTCCGTTTATGGCTGGGCTTAGTTTTGGTAACTAAACCCTTCTTTCTAATAGGAGGCTTTCGCCGGGAGGCGGTGGTAGTGGTAGTTGAAGTTGATGGAGTACCGGCTTTGGCAGCGTTCTTTCTGGTCTTCGTAGGGGCCGGAGAAGCTGACCTGGCGGATTCTATGATATCGAAATCGAGGTTAGAAAGTAGAACATGAAGGCTGTAGAAATATACCATCTTCCGTATCGTCTGGATTGACACTAGCAGATCCAGTCCCAACACCCGAAACAACGGACTCGCTTCGCGCAGCTCTGCCGCTCTTCTTCCCCTTCGTCCCAGTCGCCCAGAAAGTCTGCGGAACAACAGTAAGAGGGCTGTCGATACTATTGGGGTCAGATCGTCGGGAGAACATGAGCGCCCCATATTCATCGGCCGGAAGGGTAAATTCGCTCGAGGGATCCGGAGTGTCTAGGTCGTCTTCAATGTCCTCCTGTTCACAAATCTCAGTCTCGGAATGCAGTAAAGGGAAAGTAATAAGTACGCGTTCGTCCAAACCCTCGAGGTAATACTGCGATTGTAGCTTGCGCCAGATGCCTTCAATGTTGGTGTGAGTGTCGGAGACTCCATGGTTCTTCATCAATTCGGCAATGCCGATTATGCGAAAGTGCTTGTGTACTCCTATATAATATTCCTATTAGACAAGCGGGATACGAGCTTCGGGTTGTGCAGCTACTTGCCTGCGGGCTTTAGCCGGTAAACAGCGATAGCTTTGAAGAGAGTCGTCTCCTGCTCGTCGGTCCAGCCATCAAAGATGATTGGCTCCGGGACAGGAGGAGAATCGTCGTCAGCCGCGGCATGACGCCCTTTATTCTTCTTTTTCGGAGGCATTATTAGAAGAATGGTCGTAGTGGCGGTGAGTATAGAGACAACCGAATGGCACGAAGAGAGAGAGAGGGTGAAGTGCGCCAATGCCTGGGTTGCCATAGCAAGGGATGACGGGCTGGAGTGTGAGGCTCTTCGTGGGCTTGGCATGCAGTGTCCCTCCAAGAGGTCGAGCGACCCGGGATGTCAACATCTCCGTCTTCTAGACAGGCGAGAACCCACAGTATCATGACACACTTCTCTTCAGTCTTTCCCAACCCCAGACCGTTTATGAAATATGGAGATAAAGGGGAGGAAGGAAAGGAGGGATATCCGTTTATAATTCCGGATTTGTGGAAACCTTCATGTTTTGCTCCAGATGACTCTGCTCAACCCACCTTGTTTCCTATTGCCCCACTACAAGGTAACTCCAATTTATCAATTACTGTTTATGTCTCGATTGCTAACTATAACCCGAACAGAAACCGTCCTGAATATTACTAAACCTTTAGATCCCTACAAAGATGAATCGGAAGTAAACCTCTTCACCTTCGACCATGACTTCGCAGAGTACTTCGCCGACCCTGATCCTGGATCCCCAACGGAGGTAGATTCCATCGCTTCAACAGCTGGAGAAGCTGTAGAACAGGAATCCTCCGATACTAGTGAGGATATATGGCTTCGGCCTGGATCTTCTGATCTTCCGGTGAATGTTCGTGCACTTCCATCGAACTTAGAAGCTGGTGACTAATTCTCAACAGCCACGGTTTCAAACATGGGAATCTTTTCTCTCCGCCGGAGCAAACAACCCTGCCAATCCTTACCTCTCGGAGGCTGGATCTCAAGTTTTTGATGCGGTTCTTACAGAGTACGTGGATGGGTCTGAGGAGATCACGGAGGTTGTGCGCACGGATGTCCTCTGCACTGTTAGTAGTAAAGATATGAGTAGCTTTTAGAACTGAGGAAAACTTATACATACTTGCTATCCAGTGCCTTCTACATCTTGGCCTCGGCAGAAACTCGGTACTGTTCACATACGATCGGAAAAAGGCCGAATTCCTTTCTATCAAACCACGATTGCGGATATCCGGATGTACAGCCGGGACGGTTGATAGGTATGCTCTAGTCGAACTAGGCTCTACGTGGGACCACTTCTGACACCAGGGGCAGCATCATAAAATCCTTTGCGGATTGCGGAAAGAAAATCAAACAGCTCCAAAAGTTTGTTGATGACGTCGGCAATGACTCAAGGTTTGAGTCCACCCTATTTCCCCAGGCCCTACGACAGGCTAACAGCGCGCGAAAGAGTAGCCACGCCTTCCACCATAGCACTAGCGGATTGTATAACGGCGATAGTTGAATCAATTCGGCAAAGACTCTCCGTCGACCCCGCAACTATCAGTAGTGTTCTGCACCTCCACTCACTCATGCGCGAGCCCTCACTCATCATCGATACATTCCATCAAATAATTTCGCAAACAGCTGGTATATCAGACGATTCTCGGCTACTTACTACGTTATTTGAAGTAGTGCAGCAAGAGCAGCATCGAAGCGGATGGTTGAAGCCCCTATTAATGGAAGCCCTAGCAAGGGTCACTCGGCCCTGGCTGGAGTCTATTGAGGAGTGGATAGGCCTTGGCCGACCAGCAGGAGGTGAAGGTATTGGGTTTAAAGGATCCGTCGAGAGAGGATTTTTCGTTAGAGTTGAAGAAGAGACATATGTGAATGAGAGGGGGGCGGAGCGCACAAATCGAAACTTTGTAAGAGCTAGATATCCATTGCAGCGAATGCTTTACGGTGATCTAACGACGTAAAGATTTTCGACAAAGCGAAGGTCCCATCTTTTATGAGTGCGGAGAGCGGAGAGTCTCTTTTTGAGAGCGGGAAAAGTCTACGGTTTTTGCAGAAATTCCACCCAAGCCACCCGCTGTCGCGGCCCGGGGCTGTAGAGGGCGCAAGGGCTCCAAGACTGGAGTGGAAATTTTCCTGGGAAGACTTAAATAAGTAAAGCGATACCTATCATAACTTAAAACCACGCCTTTCTAACGACGTGACAGCCTACAGAGTCAAGCAATGAGCTATGAACGAGAGCTTCGATTGGCTATTGATAAGTATTCTGTGCAGGGGTCAACAGCAACTGCTCCCATGGCCGGAAATTACCAATCAGTACCGGGAGGCATTGATGCGTTTGAAACATTTGGAAAATCTAAAGAGGAGATAGGTGCTATGATTGGCAAGTCCGTCTCGGCCATGAACAGCCCCCCCCTCTCCATCGAACACCTACACAAAAAGGATTTATTGCGCACTCTTGTCCTCAAAATATCACGTTTGGAGCTAAATCCTGACCCAGGGCACGATCACCTAACTGCATTTGCACCTCCCATATCAATAACCCCCGTTCTTTCCTTCTCCCATATATTTGCCGTCCAAGCAAAGATCATAAACACTGCCTGTCTAAATATGTTTTTCAAGGGGCACAAAGTTAGAGAGCATCTCTCACTTCTCCGAAAATTCGAGTTGTTCGGCGATGGTGTTTACTCAAGCCGTCTTAGCCACGCACTCTTTGGCGATGAATTGGATGGAACAGAGAAACGTGGAGGGGTTCACAGAACTGGAGGGACTATGGGATTGAAGCTAGGGAGTAGAGATAGTTGGCCTCCCGCATCCTCTGAGCTGCGTTTGGCATTAATGGGAGTTCTCGACGAAAGTTTTGACAACACACAAACCAAAGGTGGGATACATCATGCGGGCAAAGACGGCGATCTACCGGGAGGCTTGAGTTTCGGCGTTCGAGACATGACAATGGGGGAGTTGGAGAGATGTATGGACCCGAACGGCCTAGAGGCTCTAGATTTCTTGAAGCTACAATACAAACCACCCTCTCCACTGGATGCTATCATTTCTACAACCGCACTGTATCAGTATGATCGACTATTCAAACTACTACTCCGAGTCCTACGCATGCTTTTTGTGGTCAATAAGCTCTTCCGCGATGCAACTTCCCGTGGCAGCCGCTGGCACACGGTAGATCCAGTCGCGCAGAAATTCCGAATTGAAGCACGCCACTTTGTAGACGCAGTTTGTAGTTACATGTTTGAGACAGGGGTTGGATCCACCTGGCGAAAGTTTGAAGATAAACTCCAAGACATCGAAAGGAAGCTAGACTCGCATGATTCAGATCTCGGCGCAGAGGGGATCGAGAGTCTGCGAGTGTACCACGAGAGTATACTTGACAGGATCATGTTTGCGACACTCTCCAGAAAGCGCCAGGCTCCACTGATGAAGCTTATGGAAGATATATTTACCTCGATTCTCACGTTTGCGAAGTATTCACACGCCAAAGCAATTGGGGCTCAGACCAATGATGAGGAAATCCCAGTACTGTATGCCGGGTTCAAGAGAAGGATTGGGATATTCATCAATGTTTGTCGGGGGCTAAGTGAGAAGAGGGGCTATGGTGATGGTGTGAAGGATTCGGAAGGAAGAAGGGCTGTTGATGCGATCTTTGGATCAGGTTCTAAGGAGGAGGGAAATCTGCTCTCAATGTTGCTTTTGAAGCTAGAGATGACAGAGTACTATACAGATACGGGGAAGGGCGAGAGAGAAAAGATCAAGAAGGGGGGACGAGGGAGGAAAGGGCCGAGTGACCCAGCATGATGTCGTCTTATCCAGATATACCATGAATGTTTTCTAGTCGTAAAATGCCATCCTCTGCTCACTATCAAAAATAAGTACCAAAATTCTCGGGGCTAGCAAAAGGAGATCTAGGCAGTTCTAACCTTTCATAAAATGTAAAGCCCTTCGCACTAAGGCAGAAGAAACAACCCATCATACCCTTAAGGGATCCTTACAATTTGGTGAAAAAACGCCAGTAATCCCTTCACCCAAGCACGTTGCGAGTCTCGATACGCCCACAGTACAACATTCGAGATAAAAGAAAGTCACTTCTAGCTCTCCTCCCTAAACAATTTAAAACCTTCTCAACCTCCGAATAACTGCGTCCAACTTCTCCGCCGCCGCCTCCCTTTCCTGCACAGCCCTGCACCTCTCCTCCTCCGCCTCCTTCAACTCGGTCTCCAAACTCTTCAACCGCTCCTGCTGCTCGTCCTCGGAAACGCCGATTCCCGGTAAAGAGGTGATCAGGAACTCGATCTGCTTGGATTTGAATATCAAATCACGGGCGAGTTCGACCTTTGCGGCTGTAGCAATTGTTATTAGCTTTGCATTTTTTGAAAACCGGGGGGGGGAGAGGTGCCGTCAAATGTGGTTTTGTCGTCGATGACAGCTGTTAGATGTCAGCTATGATAAAGGAGGAAGGGGAAGGGGGGCAATGCCGGTATCGTCGGTGACTTTTGCTTCGTTTCCGACGGGTACTGCGTCGTGGTGGGTACCGATGTAGCGGAGGGCGCTGAAGAATTGGGTTGCCATCTGGGATTGGGTTCGTTTGTTAGCTTTGTTCTGGAGGGAGGAAGGGAGGGGGGTATCGCGCGCACACGGACGTGGGGGGAGGGAGCACCTGGTCGATAGCGTCTTGAAGCTGGGATAGTCTATCTGCCATTGTATTTTGCTAAAGTATTACCGTGATTGATGGTTTGCGGCTGGTATATGGCGGATGCTTGTCTATTGGGAGGACAGGTATGTAGGCGTACGGTTGAGGTTAAGATAAGCTCGGGAACGCCTTTCGTGCGTTCATCCATTTCCATTCAAATAAGACTCCCAGTTTGTAAACTCGAGAACTTGTGATTAGTCATCATCCTTGACTTCAAATCTTTTGAGTTTGATCCCACCACAACACCCACCTAGTTGCCTCTCTCATATCATGATACGATAGCCTAACAAAGAACAACAAAAAAAACAATATTAAGGGAAGGAAGATGTCGAGACCGCCGCTGAGCTTGACGGCAGAATTGGAAAAGTTGGAGCAGAGTATTACGCTTACCTTGCAAGGTTTTTTTTCCCTCCTTTTATTTCTTAAAGAGCGGAATGGGAGGTTAATGCGTGCGGTAGAAATTGATCACAACTTCAGTAAAGCCCATCGGATTGTCACGACCAGTATCATCCCTATTGTTGAGCGATACGCGAAGGAGTCTGAGGCTGTTTGGGAGGGGTCGAAGGTAATTTTCCTTACCCCCCCCACCACACTAAAGTCAAGGTAAATGCTAATTGTAGTGGGGAAATATAGTTCTGGAAGCAATTCTTCGAAGCCAGTGCTAACGTCGCACTATCAAACTACCAAGAGGAAGAGGAGACATATGAAGAAACCGGCGTGGCTACCAATGCAGAAACGTATATAACTGCCTCTTCGCCAGGAAATTACGGCGAGCAGTCCACACGGATAACGCAGGAAGACGACCCCCGACACCGCGGTCCCGAAGAGGACGACGATGACTACCTACTGGATGATTCACTATTAGAGTCGCTAAATTTGACAGCGGGAGGATTGGGTGGAGCAAGCACGCCCAAGGGGAAGCAACTCCAACGCACAGAGACACAGTGGGAGAACATCGAATCACCTTTCGATGCGCTGCGCAAGGAGTTGGCCGGGAATGACTATACTATGCACGGCTCTCCCACCACCGCCAATACCGCTGCCGCTCCTGCCGCCGGCGCAACCGGCTGCGAAGACTCCTTCGGCAGCGACGACGCAGACATGACCTTCGAACCCACCCTTCTCCCCGCAACCCCTCAAACATCCCGACGCACCCGTCCAGCAAAAGGCTCCTTCGAAACGCCCAAATCCTCACCATTTTACCCCTCCGCCGCTGGGGCCATCGGAAAAAAGACGCCGGGCGGGGCGAACGAAGACCAACTCCTCCACCGGGTGCTCGACAAGAACTGGCGCTTGCAAGCCACGCCGCTGGGAAAACCCCCTCCTTCCCGATATCGAACAATAGGAGCCGCCACAGCAACGACGCCGAAAGCCCAGATATTACCCCCACCTGGGTCTGAATCCCCAATGTCCTCACCGCCAAAGCCACACTTTTACTCTGCAGACATATTCTCTTCCCCAATTCCGGGCTTCGGCGGCTTCGACGGCGGAAAGAAACCCAAACCAAGCACTACCTCTAACACCACCGTCCTCGCCGGCGATCCCAAAACGCCAATATCAAGACGCTACGGCACCGCAAAAGTAACAACAACCCACCACCACGAACTCAGCCAGCAGGGAGATGAAGGCCGCTTTGCATACGGCTACGATGATGATGACGACTCTGACGATCTGGACCTACCACCCGGCTTAAGTCCCCCCGTCACCATCCAGTTCTCGCTCCCGCCCTCAAAGTTGCTGGCTACACCGGCGAGGGAGGCCAGCCGGAGGATTGTGCACGATATCTTGCAGACTGCTGGCGCGGCGGACGAGAGTGGGGCTACTGGGGGTAGCAGTCCGCCGGTGGTTCGGGATGTGGGGCCCCTCGATGACACTTTTTAGTTAAGGCATTAGGTGGTGTGCACATAAATGCCTACCTACTTTCTTGTGAGGGTAATGGGATTTTCTTTGGCTTTTTTTCAGAAGGCGAGGAGGTACTTGTAACGGTATCGCAGTAGTGATTTATACAAAGCATGACCTAGTCTATTGGCTCGTTACATAGTGACTAAGCAGCCAGTTAAGCTATTCCTTCCTTCCTTCACTCCATCCATCCATCAATCAACCACCAGCAAAGAAAAAAGGGAAAAAAAGAGAGGACTGAAGTCCCATAAAAACCATCTATGAACCTTGCGAAAAACTCAATAAGTAGAAGAAAAAAAAGAATGAAAAAAAATAGAATGAGAAAGAGAGTAAAGAAAAATAACACCCATCCCTGCCCTTCCTCCTTCTGCCTCCTTCAAGACGAATAACACTTGCTTGTACTTAGAACTTAAAAAGGGTTTCCGCTGTTTGAAACTACCGCACCATAAAAAAAAGGCTAGCACATTACTCACCTACGGAACTGCCGACATTGAAGTAGAGTAGAGTAAGCAGGGTAATAGCAGGCAAACAAGTGGCAAAAAAGCTCACGGTATTAAAACCTCGTCACGTCCCAAAAAGAAAAGGAAAGGAGAAAAGAGAAGCAAAGGATAACGCCCCTGTCCGCTCACGCGCACACAATACAAGCTAGCAAAGCAAATCACAACCAAGACCCTGCTAGTGGAAAAAAGGGTATGATAGTATGATAGAAAAAAATACAGGCAAAAGCTTCGGGATCGGGTTGAAAAAATGGGGGGAGGGGTAAAAAACGAAAGAAAATAGATCCCCCATTCTTTTGTTTTTTCGGGGGGTGGCGGGTTTTTAATTTCATTGATTAAAAAATGGATTCGTTGTGGTCGATGAGGAACTGTATGGCATTGTTCTTCGCGTGCATGTCCGTCATTTCCCGTTCATCGCTGGTGAAGCGTAGGAGAGTTGGGGCGAAGACTACTGCCAGATTACGGGCGTTCATTAGGTTTTCATCTCTTCGGGCGGCGACTCTGTTAAGGCGTTGGTAATTGTATCCACGTGAATTGGAATGAGGGAAAAAACCAACCTTGCTAAATGGAAAATAACAAATTGCAGGCAGTCGCGATGGATGGGGGGTAATTCGTCGACCAAGTCTTTGACGATTTTGATGCGGGTTTCCTCCTCAAAGACGGCTATTGAAATATTAGCGCTCGTATCAAGCTCGTGGGGCAAGGAATACATACTAGTAGTGTCCACAAAGCGTTCATAAATGTCATAGGTCAGCAGAGGATTAGGCAAGTTCCTGAAGTACTGTTTCAGGACACTGGTAACTCCGCAAATATCAACATTGCTATCAAACGGCACATCATCACCACGCTCGAAGGCCTCCTGGATATGGCGCATTTGCGAGGCGCCACCAGATTTACGGTAGATACCCTCAAAGTCCATTCCACGGACTTCAACCTCTTGGATACACTTCTGGACAACATTGGGGATGCGATTGCCTTCGTACTCGGCACGTTGCTCGAGATCCGTTCCAAAGAGTGGAAGCACACCATCACTAATAGTAGCAGTAGATCCAGCCGCGCCGAGCCCGTTTTGACCTCCTTTATTCTTCATCCATTTCTTCTGTGTGCCAAATATTTTACCCCCGGGTGTATCGGGCCCTCCGGGCTTCATACTGCCGGGCGAATCAACGCCATTGGGATGATCACCGGGCCAACCCTCTCTCTGATCAGAACCTGCAAACAGCTTGTTAACCCCCTTTCCCGCCCCCTTCATAACAGCACCTCCCTTCTTCCAGAAAGTCTTCTTGATCTGCGGTCCATTCTTCAAAGAAGTAACCTTCTGAGCGGTAAAGACTTCAGTAGCTTCATGGTGATGATGGATGTGCGTGGTGTCACTGATTTGGCCCACCATGTTAGAAGATGATGCGGACGTCGCAGTTGCAGTAGAGGGCCGTTTTTCGTTTTGGTCCTTGATATCAAGCAAGTCGGCGGCATTGCCAGTATAGATACCCAACCCATTTACAGGTGTTTTGTTTGCCTTGAACTGGCCTTGGATACGTCGGGTGAGCTCGTTATTCAAGTCAGCAAGCTGCGCATTCTTCAAATTTAGCTGCTCAGTATCCTGTATAGCCTGGTCTCTGAGACGAGCAAAATTTTCGACTTCTTCGGTTAACTGATCCCTTTGTGCTACGAGGCTTTGAATCTCTGACTTCAAAGTCATCTTTAGATCCTCTAGCTCCCGAGTTAATCCGTGTATAAGATCGGACTTCAGCTCTTCCATATTAAGAGGTTGTCTATTAATAAATGGTTAGCCGAGATCTCGAATATCGTTCATGGGGCACGTACCCATCTTTAGCAGCGTCCACCCGCTCCTTGATTACCATTAGCTCACGCAAAAACGCCTCACGCTCCGTTTCCAGCAAAGCCACAGTATTTCTCTTCTCAGCAATATTTGAATCCAACACTTTCGCTGAGGCAGTGCTCTGCTGACATGTTAGTAAGACATAAAAAGAAAGAAGAGGGAGATTCCGAAGTCACGTACGTTAAGACGGGCCTCAAGCTCGGCGATTCTTTGCATCGAACGTCGAAGTTCGTGCTTTAGGGTAAGGGTATCGTCTTTCCCACCTAATGACAACGTCGGACTAGTAATGTCGCCCTCAAACGGAAGGTATCCCGGATCCCCTCCACTTGGTGATCTTGGCCACTTGGGGGGCGATCCCGTTCTAGTAGCCAAATCGCTAAAACTTCTTCCATGCATAACAGCGTTCGACACCCGCCGAAGTATGGATGCCGATGTATCTCCACCACCAAAAACCCTTGCGATATCCTCTTCCATGCTCAAATCGCTAACAGGCGACTTGAACGGTGGTGGCAATACCGACCCATCTAGACCTACCGGTTCCCCCTGTGGACTAAAACTAGAAGAGCCCGAGGCATGTACAGTGGACGGAGGCTGTGGGGCCCCCGGTTGCTGGTCAAGTGTAGTTTGAGTTGAGAAAGTAGGATCCTGCTGATAAGTAATATTGCTAACGGTTGTAGTAGTATTGATCTTGATCCCTCGTGGTTTAGAATCGGTAGTATCCTTGGCTCCCAGCCCAACCTCAGGTGATTCTGCAGCTGTAATTGCAGAAGCATTGGATCCGGATGTTCCATGGGAGCGCTGCGAATGTCCAGAGGAAGAAGCCGAATGAACAGGTGATTCTAAATCGACGGGCTTCCTAGCAACAGAAGTTGGCGAATCCCCGCGCGAAATAGGCAGGTTATATGAATCCCCACGGGGCGGTATCTCGGGGGCAGCCACTGAAGGCGCAGTTTCCAAATCCATGGGCAAGAATGATACTGATATCTCATGGGGATCTAGCTCCTCCCCATCCATGATCTTTGGTGTGCCCAATGACCTCTTCCTCTCCCGCGGCACCTCTCCGAGCTTAAAGTTCTCCTTTTCCTGCGCATGTCCGGGTGAGTCCTTGGCAAGGACGGTGCTCCTAGACTTGGTACTGGCAGTGTCAGAATCGGGCTCTTGCTTGGATGGCTCCCTTGAGATATACGGAGAGCTGTAAGTTGAGGTTAGATCCTTGTTGAAGTATAACTTTTCCTTCTTATCCCCACCATTCCTACCAGAATCTCCCGATCTCCTCCCCATTTCCATATCCATACCATCTCCACTTCCAGGAATTTGGCGACCCTTCTCCTGAGATGCGATGTGTAGTGGCAGTGGTGGCCTGCTCTTTTCGGTTTCCCGGTAGGATGTTGGCTCTGAGATTTTGCGCTCATATGATGGTCTCGCATTACCCGGAGATTCCCTCATAGATCTTTCTTGATAGTAAGGGTCATAGGAGGAGGTTCTATTAGGTCGGTAGGCCGTACTTGGTAGAGTGACCGGAGCAGGTGAAGGATCGAGGGCGACCGGAATAAATGAGGAATACGGATCATAGCCGGCACTATCTGCTGAATGCTCCGATACCTGCGAGTTCATTGAATATCTGTGAGACCTAGGCGCCGATCGTAATTCATTTCCTGTAGCTTAATTAGCAATCCATCACCAACGGCGCAAATAGCTTGAAGCTCACCTGCAGCGGAGAACCCAAGAGGAGATAATTGGTCCGGGGTTTGGCCAGATTTTGAAGATGCTGTCCTATTTACTGGAGGGCGAGGCCTAGGTGAGAGCTCCGTTGGAGTTGCCGAGTGACCATCTGAGGGAGGTTCATCTTCTTCAACAGGTAAAGACGGGAGCGATTTATCTAAGGAAAGCATCGGCGAGGGGGCGTTACTCCCCATTGTAGGGGTTTTCTGTACTTTCCCCCGTTTCCTCCGGCGAGCCATTAGCGTCTCATGACAGCTCATGCAAAAGATACCTTGCGAAGTCCGAGCGTATTTCAAATTCTCGATCTTACGTTTGCAATTCCGGCATCTGAAGCATCCTGCGCAGAAGGCCTGATCTCCTGTCAGGATAGCTAAGTCCTCGATCTTGTTATGACAAGCTGTGCAGCTATAAGTGCAATTGTTGCAAATGAGAGAGCCATCACCCAGCAATAGCAAGTTTGCGTCCGAGTCCAGTAATGTCTGGCACTTGTTGCACCGAAAGCACTCGATATGCCATCGGTTTCCCGCTACCAATTTATCAGTCAAAGTCATGGAGAATGGAGCAGCGTTTAGGAGATAAAGGAAAGTTGAAAATTGAGAGAGAAGGGGAGGTAGAATTATTTTCCGGCTGTACTCACACAATTCGAAAGCTTTCCCTTCCTCCAGTATCTGTGACTTCATGTCAGTAAAACTAGAAAACTGGTAAAAACAAAAGAAACAGCAGCATCAGTATTCCTGCACACCTTTCCACATCCTTTACATGGGAATGTTCCTTCATCGTCATCATCAAACATTGGCGAACCAGGCGGGAGTCCTGGGGAATCCATATCCGGCTCAAATCACCGTTCCTCCTCTTCTCCTGAGGAAGCCGCCCTACTGCAACTCAATGTGTATGCGTGTCCAAAGTCGTAGCCACAATGACACAAGCACCCAGCGAAAGGACAAATTTCGTAAAACCTATGGCAAATAAAAAGGAACAATCTCCTTCAGAAGATTGTATTTTTATTTTATTTTTTTATTTTATTTTGTTTTGGCGTGAAAACGAGGGGGTGTGGGCTAAAGGAGCGGAGGAGGGGGGTGTAGGAGCGTTGCTTGCGTATGTGCGTGGTAAGAGTTTGGTGTGGATGGAAGGAAAAGAACGACGAGCTAGATCTAGGCGGCGGGTTGTGGAATAGACACTAAAGATGTGGCAGACGGTACTGCAAATCGCAAGAAAAAAGAGGGAAAGGTGCGGCGATTAATCAGTTCTAAGTTGATGTCTTTGCGGACCCTCGCTGTATTGGGCGTGGCAGTCCCGTAAGGGTTGGAAAAGGGAGGGGTGGGAAATGGTTCAGGACGGTGAACGTTCAGGAGAGGGAGGGTTTCACGTTTAGAGCGGTGATGTGCAGAACTAGTTGTTTACAACTCAGCTGCAGCCGCAACTTGGATTGATGAAAGGATTAGATAGGACCGACTGGTAAGACGAGTAGGATGTGATAGTACAGGAAGTGGAATTCCACGCCGGCGGACCGCGACAGGTATGGATTCAGTAGGGGGGGAGGAGGGATGGAGGAAGGATGGAGTGGAGGGGAAGAGCGGAGACGGGAAAAGGTAAAGGGTACCGTGGTGAGGCGGGTGGTGGAAGGAGGGAAGAGAGAGAAAAAAAGATGAGGATTTCCTGGAGGATGAATTTCGTCAAAGGCGAGAAAATAGTTGAAGCCTCACTTCTCGCTTGCTGCCGCCCGGGGCCCTGATGAACAGGAGGACGCTGGCTTTGTGGTACAGTGCTGTTGGTTGTGTGGTAGCAAAGGGGGGTCTGGAACTTGTGTCGCTTTGCGATACTTCGCTTGCTGGCCGGTCGATTGCCTGCCTGCAACAGCTAGATACCGTATACAAGTACCACCGGCGGCATCACTTGAACACTGCAGATCGGGGTAAGGATGGAAGGTATGCTGCAAGACAGTGTTCACAAATAGAAAGAGAAGGAAAGGGGGAGAGAAAGTGAGGGATAGAGCGAGAGAAGGAAAGAAAAGTACCGATAAGGTAACATAGAATGAAATAAGGGTATGTATTACCGGTACCAGTAGGCTGTTTTACTTTTTCGACCCATTCATCTTTACCGTTTGGTTCACTTTACTTTCCAAGAGGAGAGGAGGATACCATTAAAATAACATCGGTGATACGATAGGGGGTCAAGCTGGAAGATTACCGTCCCATGCTATTGCCTGGGCGCGTAGAAGGAAGCTTGGACCCTCAACGCATGCTTGCTCCCAGAAGCACGGAAATAAGAGAGGAAGGGGAAAAAAAAAGAGTAAAAATTTAACGGCAGTGATGAAAGGGGCCTGCTGGAAGAAGAGCACCATCGCATGCGATTGGCGGGGCATTGGGTGAGAAACTTGGACCCACCCGCTTGGGCCAATCGCAGCAGGAGGGAAAGGGTATCCTAGAAAAGAGAGTACCCAGCATAAAGAAAAAACATGTCAAAAACGTTCTCCAAACCACAGAAATGACAGAAACCCTCCATTATTATGGCGAGCAGTCTCCTGTGCGTACTCGAGTACCGCAACGTGCCATCTGCCATCCGAGAGGGGAATTTGCACGGCACCCCACTTGACAATCAATACAAGGAATGAGGCTGTGCTAAATACTCTCCTCGAGCACTCTACTGAACGCCGCGCGACCGCGGCTTGATGGATAACAGCGGGAAAGGAATTCATTTTAAGGGCTAGATTTTTTTTTGAATTTTTTTTTAGAGGGGAGAGGGTGTTACCAGAGTTCAATATGTTTTAATGACAATTTAGCACAAGGAAAACAGAGGGTAGTCTATGATATTATATCACCTCAAGTCTCCAAGAACATATGATTTTTCTGCCCAGTCGGGATAGCAAATACCGGTTGTTTTTTCTTACTACCCAATCTACTGAATCCAGCATACAATGATAGTGGTTTTTGTAAGTTCATAGAGGTAGGTACTCATCCATGTTAGTTATTGACTACAACAGAACTTCATGATTTTTTTATCATGCTACTTCGCTGTATGAATCGGGGTCCGGTTGACCCTCACAGACAAACATTCAAGCTCATTAGTCTTCTCTCTCTACAATGCTCTTGCACTCGATACAATCTACATAAATATTTTCAACACGATAATGAGGCAACTGGGTCAATAACCAAGTGGGTCAACGAGCGAGAAGTCAATCCGCGGGATTGACCATGAATGATTCCTAAGCGCGATAATTCCACATCAGTTAACACGCTTCGGTTTGGCGCGGCAGGGTGCGAACGGCCAAAAGTGAAAAGGACCCCTGAGGTCCCTTTCATCCGCTGTTGATCATTTTTGACCACCATGGATCCGCTCAGACACCCATGAATGGTCGGTCACTTGAACGGTTAGCTACCGTAACCAAACAGCTTTCATAGGAAGACAAGATCTCGGGCAACCATTGATAGTGGCTGAACGGTCGCTTCTGGAAGGGCGAATGAACAGTCCATTGTATTCGAGTAGACTAAGCCGAAGGCAGCCTACTCGAGTAAACATGCCAAGATTCCAGCCGATTATGCATAGTAACAGCGAGCAGTTGCAAAATCTTGCAGCACATCTAAGACCCTCGAGATCTCAATGCCGGGTTCAGCCCAATGCTACGGAGGTCTAGCCCTCAGGTTTGTACGGTACTATCATAGTCGATTTTTTAAGTATGATATCCGGACATCCCGGCGCCAAGGAATATCCGCTATCTGTGCATATGTGCGTGAAACTTGTTGCCCATACTTCTCCTCATTATTTCAAGTAGTTTTGCTATCTCAGTATTAATTTAGTTTGCTGTAATATAATCCTATTCTGCCCTGAGAGTTGCTGTCATATGTTCAAGATTTGTTACCTACTTCTATTATGGGTCAACTTGTTAGGTGGAAATGATCTATATAGACTCAGACTTGTCTAAGCCAATTGAGATTCAGTTTGTAGACAGAGATTAGTCTAAAAAGGCTCAAAGGGTTGCTTGTTTCGTGTATGACTACTAAGAGCGAAGTAAAGTATAATAGAATCAGGTGAACAATAATATATTGTTAAGGTCGCTTCTCTGTTACTTGATAACGTCTAGGAGCTTTAGAGGTACTTTGATATTTATATTGCATGTCTGAGTATTTGCAGATGTCACAAATATTGCTTTTCACATGACTCATGATTATGAGTCATAGGTATGTTATTACTTCGCACATATGACTCATTTAGGTCATATGACTTGTTATGTTATGATTTGTTATGTTACACACATGACTCGATTATGAGTTATGGGAAGTGCACCTGGTGAGTATGCCTTGCAAGTATGCCTTACGGGTATGCCTTGTGGATATGACTTATATTGCGCACATGACCTCATTACAAGGTCATGAATTTTGCGCATGTGACCATTTGGAGGCATATGACTTGTTTATTATGTTATGATATCACAAATGTGGCTTGGCATGAAAAAGGTTTTCACATGACACATGGTTATGAGTTACAGGTATGTTATTGTTTCACACAGATGACTCATTCGAGTCATATGATTTGTTATGTGTGGGATTTGTGATACTTTCGCACATGGCTCAAATATGAGTCATGGGAGTGTGCCTGGCAAGTATGCCTTGCAAGTGTGTCTTGTGGGTAAGCCTTGCGCATATGATTTATGTTTCACACATGACCTCGTTATGAGGTCATGGGTTTTATGCATATGACTCAGTCGAGTCATATGACTTGTTTATTGCGTTATGATTGGTTTATGAGTTTTTGTACATGACCTCGCTACGAGATCATGGGTTTTGAGCATGTGACCACTTCGGTCACATGACTAGTTTGTTATGATTTGGATTAGCACATGTGACCACTTTGGGTCACATAACTATGGGCAGGAAGAATACTATATAATGAGGCCAATGCGGCCGAGGAGGATAGGTTTCTTCACGCTTTGTTCTAAGTACTTTTCCTACTTATTACTTTAAGAAATATAAAACAACTTTACGATCTTTATCTTTATTGCAACATTATTGTTACACCAAGGAAAGTTCTTCATGAAGAAGAGTTAAAGAAAGCTTACAATAGGCGACTGTCACGAATGTGGCTTAGCGAGGAAAGGGTTTTCACGTGACACATGGTTATGAGTCACAGGTATGTTATTGTTTCACGCATATGACCTATTCGGGTTATATGATTAGTTATGTGTGGGATTTGTGATGCTTTCGCACATGGCTCAAGTATGAGTCATGGGACATGCGCCTGACGAGTATGCCTTACGAGTGTGCCTTACGGGTAAGCCTTGCGCATATGATTTATGTTTCGCACATGACCTCATTATGATGTTATGGGTTTCGTGCATATGACTCAGTCGAGTCATATGACTTGTTTATTGCGTTATGATTGGTTTATGAGTTTCGCACATGACCTTGCTATGAGGTCATGGGTTTTGAGCATATGATCACTTTGGTCATATGACTAGTTTGTTATGATTTAGTTTCGCACATGTGACCACTTTAGGTCACATGACTAAAAGCGGGAAGAACACTATATAAGGAGGCCGATGCGGCCGAGGAAGATAGGTTCTTCACGCTTTGTTCTAAGTACTTTTCCTACTTATTACTTTAACGAATATAAAATACCTTTACGATCTTTATCTTTATTGCAACGTTATCGTTACGCCAAGGAAGGCGCTTTACGAAGAAGAGTTAGAGAAAGCTTACGATAGGCGGTCCTGGTAGAAGACAAGAGTCTTGTACTATCGGTAACGTAGGCAGAGGCCTAGAGTTATCGTAAGACAAAGGAAGGAGAAGACAGGAAGAGAAGTATCGTTCCCCGTTGCCAAGCACTAACTAGCCAAAGAGGGATCGTTACATTACAAAGCGTCACCTAGTGCGACGCTAAACGATACAAGACGGCATCCTTCAACCCAGACCAGGAAGGAGATATTGACATCGAGGATCAAAATCTTAATCTAGGAGGATTCAGCGATACCCTAGATCATGT